TTTTAAATCAGCCAATCAAGAGACAGACCCTTCCAGTTTGCAGCCATCTGGGATCAATATCAGTATCTGGGCAACTGCCCACCTACCCCTCCCCTAACCCAACAACAGTCAATTGATGACAAGTTAGGGTTAATGCTGGGTTAGGGGAGGGGTAGGTGGGCAGTTGCCCAGATACTGATATTGATCCGCCATCTGGAGACAAATAACATTAGGTTTAATGGCGTCATTAGACTATTTGAGCCCATAGTTGTCGAATTCCGCGGAACCAGGAGGTTCGAGTCTCAACTCCTTGTGGGAATCTGGAAAAACTTTTTCTTTAATATTAACCGCTAGCTGTTTGGATACAGTCGTTTTACGAAATTTTGAAATTTAAGCTTTTCCACAAGTTTCTCTTAATGTTTATTATTATAATCATTATTATTATTATTATTATCATTATTATTATTATTATTGTTTTAATTATTATCATTTGTCTCGTTTTGCTTTTCAATTTTGTTGTTTCGGTTTGGTTTGTTTCGTTCTCTTTTCATGTCTAATAATTATTTTCTCTTATCACCATCATTTTATATTATTTATTATTATTATTATTATTATTTATTTATCATTTATTATTTATTATATTATTTTCTCTTATCACCATCATTTTATCTTTCATTTTTTTTTAAGTTATTAGTAGTAATCGTTTACTTGAGATCGAGCGGCCAAGAACAAGTTATCAGAATTGCATGATCTCTCCCTCACTTCAATTTTTTTTTTGTTTTCTTCCTATAAAATGTACTATTTTATGACAAAATACTTCAGCAGTTTTTTCCTTTTTTTGTCAAGAGGAAAACAAGTGAATGTGCGACTATAATTCAGCTATAACGATCACTTAGATCTAGAACTATATAAGCAAAGCTTATTTAACAAGCACTTTATCAGAGATAAAACATACAGAAGCCGAAGTAATCAAAAAAAAATATTGAAATATTGAGATAATGGTATTAAAACAACAATAATCTAATGTACGTCGAAGTCACCCCATGATTACAATTACAATTAGAATCAGTACTTGTACGGTGTTAAAGAATGTCTCTCAAAAACTATAAGCTTCAAAACAATTATTTAACAACCGATTCGAAATAATAGAAATGACGATCATGGGCGATGATTAATTATGGACGGCACATCATCAGCAGGTAACAACTGAATGATACATAGAATAACCATGTTTTCAATGTTCCAAACGGTACAAAAATAGCCAAAAAAATACCTTTCTCTAAGGAGCCTCTCTGAGAATGAATAGATTCTTGCCAAACAAAGTCGAGATTCGCTGAATATAAATATTCCTTTCGCGATGACAAAAACCGAAGAAAGGAAGAAGGTGCCGTTAACTTTGCATAAAGCATGTATTGTATTTCAGAATCCAATAATCATTCTCTTGAAATGCTGATGACCTCACCTCCGATCGAGCCGGTAAGAGGGCAAGAAAATTAGGAGCTTGCAACCATCCGGAGAATTCGATTAACTTCTGAATAAATAGGTTAATATAACTAGAATTTTATTATCACTCGGTTTCGTAATGATACTCAATCCAACACTTTGGAAAATTCAGATCGAGAGTAACTGAGGCATGTTATGGTCATTCTGAAATTTGTTATAGGACTGTTAGGCATGAAACGTTCCAGGCGTTTCAAACGAACTAACACCTTTGACGCTAAATAATTCTGAGGAGAAACCCTCTATAAAACGTGGATAATAGGCAAACAGGGGTGGACTGGGGGGAGGTTAAACCTTTAACTTTCAAGATCTGATAGTAAATTCTCCCCTCTTTGTGCTACACATTTCCTTTTTAATTGGATACAAGAATTTGATGTTAGATCAAGATAACAACTTCTACCTGATAAGTTTGAATATTCTCATCACCTGTCTGCTGAATAATGTATGGATATCATAGGAAGAAGATTCATAGTGATCACCACTGGGAGTGAAAGGCTAACCAATCCCATTTCCCCTGAGAACAATTTTTAAAAGAAGTAATAATAATGAAAAGAGAAGAGAAACAATATTTCTTGGCAATAAATTTAATCTAAACGCCCACCGAGTGATGCATGTCGATTTTTTCATGGTTTACGGAACACCTTGCAAAGATAGAAAAACACTCATTTGAAGAAACACTGGATTAGTAGAAAGGCTCCAACATATGGAATAACGTAAAAGATAACTTTAGGGAAAAAATAAAGCAAGTCAGATGACATCGACCCCCCTTTTCTCCTTCGCCCCACTCCCTCCCCCACCCCCCCAAAAAAACAAAACAAAAAAAAACAAAGAAAAAATAGATTGACGCCTTCTTCACAAGGTTAGTAGATAGGAGTGACGGAGACAGAGGAGCCTTTTCTTCTTCGAAAGACCCCGGGAGAGGGGGGAGGATGAAAAACAGACTCTAACTTAGTTTGAAATGTCAATCATAGACCACATTGAATTCTTGCGATTTAGTGCTGCTGCCATATCTATTTTGTCTACGTACTAAAAGAAATATCTTTGAAAAATTCGTGTCAAGCCTGTAACCGATCTTCAATCACAATATCCGCAAACAATAAGTATGAGATTATTAATTTGATCCGGCGTTACAAACCGGAAATGAAATAACCGACCGCACTTCATTTTACTGAAGAACTATTGCTCCGGGGTATGCGCGACCGAAGTCAGCGGAAAATTATTTTAAAGAAGACTGTTACAAAAGCAGTCTTGGAACAATGCAGTTTATTTTATAACATAGCTAGTAAATTTGTCTAATCAAATTCAATTACGCGAGCGTGCTTCATATTCCTATTGTGCATGCTCATGACGTCAGCAAACAAATCCCTCCAAAACAAATTTTTTCATCGGGTTGAAAATGTTATAAAACAATTGGTTCATACGTCAGCTGTGTGTTCATCGAGATATGAAGCACTTGGGAAGTTTGGAGAGCACTCAAGAAGCTAGAGTTGCTCTCGGCTACGCCTCGAGCAACTTTTACGCATCTTTCGTGCTCCCCAAACTTCCCGCGTGCTTCATATCTCGATGAACGCACGCTGAACCAATTGTTAAATAACGCCGGTAAATTCCTTTGAAGCTTTATTTTATCCTTTTCGCATGAAAACAAGAAAAATGAGCATTGCTGCCCCTGAGCTCTTAGCTTGAATACTTAGCTGTGCTATCAGAAAATCACAGATGGAAAATTAGCGTTTTCCTTTTTAAACTGTATCAGCGTGAAAATTGTTCGCGCTATGATATGTATCGCTCTCTTTAGGAGTATTTTTTTTTCAGAGAATCGCGTTTGAACATCTTGCATTTAACTAAAGAGAAAAAAAACAGCAAATTGAAACTTTCATAAAGAATTATTCAAAACTTTTTTGATAACCGCACTGAGTTTATCCACCCGTAATTCATTTTTTCTTTGTCCCACGCTCGTGGCAAGACGAAAACCATCTTTTTTTGAAACCAACCATCACTCTTACATAAACACAAGAGAAATTCGCCAATCTGATCTCAATGACACCTAGAACTATGCTGGCTGCAGACCTACACTCCTGGTAAGGTCACCCATGCCGAACAGATCGATGGGTAAAAAACTAGACCAAGAGTGACCCCCTGGTCCTCAAGTTGGAGTTTAGGCGCAGGGTTAACGACCCTGCCCTGTAGAAAGAAACGCATGTTACAGAAGCCGGATGCATTAAAAGGGATGCTTAAGACAGAATCACAAGAAAGATTGCAGAGATGGGTAGAGCACTTGAGTGAAATTTTAAACAGAGATGACCCTACAAATCCAGTGGGAGAGAAAGAAGAAACAGGAGAACTGGAGTAGTTGAGGAAATAGATGTGGGAAGATAGCGAGTACAAGAGGTTAAGGATGCGTTAAGTAAGACAAAGCCACGGAAAGTGGCTGGAAAAGATGAAGTGGGCCCAGACCTACCGAGAGCTGACATGTAATACACCGCAGGTAGACTGATTAGATGTTATAACAGGCTTTGGGAAACTGAAACGTGGCCGTAAGTGTGGAAGAATGGACTTGTTGTCAAGATATTCAAGAAAGGTGATTTGCGTGATTGCAACAACTGGAGAGGAGTGACTTTGCTACCTATCATGAGTAAAATACTCCAAATGATGCTGCTAGGGCGGATCAAGAAAGGTGTAGAGGTGGTGCTCTAGCCATCAGTACGCACTAATTATGCTATGTCTACATTTAAATTCTCTGCAATAAAAATTTGGGAACCTGTACCACCTGAATTTAAACGTTTTCCATACATGCTATTCAAAAAGCGGTATAAAAGATTGTTATTGAGTACTCAAAATTGACCATAGTCTAACTGTTAGCTATATAAGATAATGCTTCACAATATACAGTTGTCCTTTTATTCTAACTTGCATTTGTGTATGTCTTTCTTCTCTTACGATAACAGTATCGTCTTTAATGTAACTATTTATTTAAATTATATTTAATATGCGGTCAACCCCAACTCATATCTACACATGACAGTGACGAACTCGAAAGCTCATTGGCCACTTTGGTCACTGTACATGATTAAATATTCTTTCTTCTAGTTAATTTCTGTTTGTCATTTTCTATATCATTGTAAATCATGTTATGTTAAGTTATTTTTTCTGTAAACAGTGTGAAATAATAAACTTGAACTTGAGCTTGAAACTTGAACTTGTAGACAAGACGCTTCAAAAAGAGCAAGCTGGCTTTAGACCAATGACAGTACAACTGAACAGATCCTTATAATTAAAAAATAACATCTTAGAGCAGGCAAACGAGTGGAGTGCGAGTCTGTAAACGCACTTTGTGGACTTTGAAAATAGCCTTCGATTCGGTTGACAGAGAAAGCTTGTGGAACATCATGGGGAGCTATGGAATTCCGCGAAAGATGGTGAGCGTTCTAGTAGGCATATACGAAGTGTTGGAATGCGCCGTAATCGACGGATGGAAGATATCAGACTGGTTCAAGATTAAGTCAGGAGTAAAGCAGGGATGTGTAATGTCAGGATTCTTATTCTTGATGTCTATGGGTTGGATCATGAGGAAGACAACAACAGACGAGAGAAGAGGGATACGGTGGAATTTAACAACAGTGTCAGAGGATCTTGATTTTGCGGATGACATCGCTCTACTTTCATCCAAGTTTAAAGACTTGGGTGTAAAGACAAGGAGATTGACGGAGGAAGCAGCCATTGTAGACAGGGAAGGTGGAGACGGTGAAGATATAAGAAACAGACCGCAGAAAGCACGCGGTGCATTCCAGAGGCCATGGAAGGTGTGGGCAACCAGAGGAATAAGAGGGAGAACCAAGATACGCCTATTCAAGACTTAGTCGAATCGGTCCTGTTATATAGTCGTGAAACATGGAAGATCACAAAGACCGGTGGAGGAAAACTGAACAGTTTCTAACGCCAATGCCTAACACGGAAACTGATGATCAGATGGCAGCATAGAATGACAAATAAGAGAGTAGTTGAAAAGGCAGAGATCAATGAAATTAGTTGCAAGGTGCGAAGAAGAAGGTGGAACTGGTTAGGACACGTACTCAGGAGAGAGGGTGTGAACAACTGTTTTACGGCACTAGGGTGGACACCAGAAGGTCGAAGGGCAAGAGGAGGCCAAAGACCACTTGGAGAAGGACTGTCGAAAGAGGAAGAGGCAAGGCGAAGTGGAAGAGATGGAATGTGGCCTGGGCAGCGGCACGCGACAGGGGTTTGGGCGGACCATGTGACGGCCTTATGCCCTACTGGCCCAACGAGCGATGATGATGATGATGATGATACACACCGCAAGTGACAGTTAACTTTAATTTAAGTAAAATTGTAACACGTGGTTTCTTGGTGAAAGGAAAGAAATAATTACTCTGAAGCTAAAGAGCGGAAACAAAAATAAATTCAGAGAAAAAGTGTAACGCACTTTTGGGGTACACTCTACTCTCAATTGGTTATCATAAACGTTCACCACTTTACAAATTTCGAACACTCTCTCCTCAATCCCACCACTCTAATTATCACGTCTCCTATTTCAATCTTAACCAAACCGTGAATGCGTAGATGTCATGTCACGCAATTTCCGTTTAAAAGGTTACTTGGAACTCACTTTGTAATCAGTGAGTTAGATAATACATACCGTTCTAGAAGTTTGACAAACCTTGGGAATACTTGAACTGTCTGCAATCAAAAGTCGAACAATTTAGAATCACGTGCTTTTAAAGGTGCACCAGCAGCAAAGGTATATGATCGTTTGGAGGACAAATGCCTTTATTATATAAAACAAATAGAATCCATGTTGCCGAGGCTCTTTACAGTAACAGATCACAGATGACATCACAACTGTGGTAAGAACATCAGTGACACGCTCAGCTGCACTTCGTGTGCGACTCTTTTGTTCTGGCCACATATGATTTCTTGCTGAACAAACGCAGGGCAACATGGAAGGTATCTTTAAAATTTACATGTATTGAGCGTAGTTTGTTGTCATTTTCGGTCCATCGCTTCCTATCACAAAATGACACAGACATTTGAAACGCTTTGACCCAATCATTTAATGGATATCAAAACTTCTTCTATAAGCTGTTAGACATTCTGGACTCCTACCGGCGGAAGCAGCTAGGCTGCGCCTTCTGCATCGAGCACTGCCACAGTTACTGAGTTTCTATTCCTTAAGGTTTCTTTTGCAAGTGTGCACGCATAAAACGGTACGACAACACAAACTTGAACACGCGTACTTGTAATTATGAAATGGACTTTACAATCTTGAACGAACGTTGTACGGTTTCGAAAACTAAAGGAAACAAAGGAAATTTACAACTATAAATACGGAAAAAGGCTAGACAAACAAGAAACGAAACCAAAAAAAAACTTACGTTTGTGTCCTTATAATATAAACGATGACGTTAAACGGGCGTTGAAACGATTCTCCACTTCGATCGAGCACATGTATTTTTTTAACTCGCAGCGCCTCTCGGGATCTAGCTAATGAGTGCGTGACATCACGCATAACGGCAGTAACATTCCCGACCCCTTAAGCGATGCTTAACATGGAAAGTTCTTAGCTACAAAATAAAGTAGTAATTATGAAAAATAACTTGTCATGTCCTTTGCTAAAGCTAACGAGTCTAGTCCGTCACACAATCCGCTTAAAGAAATAGGGACTATGAATATTCCATGAAGGTTCAGCCCTTACGAGCTTCCTGTTTCATTGTTCATTATCGAGGCACGATTGTTCTTCCTTAGCTAGCAAGAGGACAACCTTGTCAACTGGTCTGCGTAGTTGGGAGGTTTGGGTCTTCAAATGAACCGTGCGTACCAACCCCTTCTTGTCTGATTCCGCGCTTATGACTCGTCCCATCGGCCAAACACTCCTCGGGCAGTTGTCGTCTTTCAACAGGACAACGTCTCCGACAGCTAGATTCCGTTTGGGACTGTTCCACTTCGAACGAGGTTGGAGAGTTGGGAGATATTCTCTCTTCCAACGCGTCCAAAATAAGTTTGCCAAGTACTGCACTCTCCGCCAGCGCCGCCTCATATAGACATCTGCGCGTTGAAAACTCCTGCTGGGGAAGTACAACGCTGGTTTTCATCGTCAGGAGATTGCTGGGACTTAGTGGGTTGAGGTCATCGGGATCACTCGAAGCGAATGTTAGCGGTCTCGAGTTAATGATAGCTTCAACTTCACATAGTAGAGTTCTAAAGGATTCGTCATCCAGACGGGAGCCATGCTCATGGAGTAGAACAGTGAGTACTTTGCGGGTAGTGCGAATCTGCCGCTCCCAAATGCCGCCCATGTGGCTGGCACTCGGTGGGTTGAAAATCCAATCTGTACCCTCTAGATGCAGCCTGCTTCTGATTTGCTCGTTGTTCATTTCGTAAACTGCTTGCTGTAACTCTGTCTTGGCGCCTACAAAATTTGTTCCGTTGTCGCTCCGGATCTCTCGGATAGGCCCACGACGAGCAATAAATCGCCTCAGAGCCTGGATAAATGAATCTGTTTCGAGAGAATTGGCGGTCTCAATATGCACTGCTCTACTTGCTAAACATGTGAAAAGGCATCCGTACCGTTTGAGTCCCTTTCGACCTTCTTTGATCATGTACGGACCGAAGTAATCCACGCCAGTATACGTAAATGGCGGGGCTGGAGTCACTCGGTCTTTAGGCAAGTCAGCCATTTTCTGTTCAGCGACAGGGGCACGATTACGGCGACAAGTAACACAATTTGCGATTAGGTGACGAACAGCAGCATTGGCACCGGTGACCCAGTACTTCTCCCTCAATTTAGCAAGTGTGTGACCGCGGCCTGCGTGTGCTAGGCGTTCGTGTAGGCGTTTGATAATCAAGTTCGTAACGTGACTCTTGCGAGGTAAGATGATGGGGTGTTTCGTTTCTTCTGGAAGATCGTCAGCGCGGCTAAGGCGGCCACCAACACGAAGGAGGCCTTCATGAATGTAGGGATCCAGCCGAGTTAGGGAACTTGCTTTCTTCAGCACCATTTTCTTTTGCTTTGCCCGACCCCGTTCGTCTCCACCGCCTTTGTCACTGACTTGTCTGAGAGCGTCAAACTCTCTACTGAAGGACTGCAACTGTACGAAGCGAAGGATGGCCATCTCGGCCTCTTCAAACTCTTGAACTGAGAGCGGTGCGCAGCAGTCACCCACTACCTTCGTTTCAGCTTGTAGTGACTTCACGCCCGACCTTGCCTGACCATGGTCCGAATCTATCTCGAGAGAACCCTGGCCTCTAATCTCCTTCCGTTTTCGCAATACAGCCTTGATTCTAAGGAATGCGGCCACCGACAATCTCAGGCGATACCAACTCGAGTGGTATTCTATTAGTTTGTTAACTGACGTAGCCGTGGCTTCCATTACCATGGTACCGGCGGAAGCAACTTTTCTGACCTCAGGGTCGTCATCTGGGACCTCACCGACTGGAAAGGGCTGCTGCGGCCAGTCCTTTTCTGATTTCCCTAGGAAGTGTGGACCATTTGACCAGCGTTGCTGCTGCAGAAGTCCAGCGGCGGAAAGTCCTCTTGAGGCATCATCTGCCGGATTGCTACTGGTGTCCACGTATTTCCACTGCATAGGACTAGTGAAGTCCCTGATCAATTGCACACGATTTGCCACGAATATCTGAAACCTCCTCCGCTCGTTTCTTATGTAGCGGAGAACCGTCGTCGAGTCGGTGTGATAGATGATAGACTCAGGCTTAACTTCAAGCTCTTCATACAGCATTTGTCCCACGCGAACAGATACGGTTGCTGCAGTTAATTCTAAGCGTGGGACTGTTACGGCCTTAATAGGTGCAAGACGAGCCTTCCCCATTAAAAAGGAACAATGTATGCGACCCATGTTATCCATTAGACGTAGGTAGGCAACGCATCCATACCCCACCTGGCTTGCATCGGAGAACAGATGGAGCTGTCTGGAGACAACTGGGCCAAAACCCGGCGGTTTGTGACACCGATCAATGTGAAATTGCTCTAGTAACGGAAGCTCTCCACACCATCTTAGCCATTTACTGCGGCAGTCTTCCGGAATGTCGTCATCCCAGTCGAGATCTTCATTGCGGCAGAGATCCTGTAACAGCTTCTTCGCTAGAAGTGTGAAAGGAGCGATGAAGCCCAGGGATCAAAGATTGATGAGATGGTGGACATGACTCCTCGTCTTGTAAACGGTTTGCTGTTAATGACGATTCGAAATCCAAAACAATCTGATTGTACGCACCACTGTATCCCTAAGGCACGCTCGATAGGGAGGTTGTCACAGTCAAGAGTTATTGATCTGACTTCTTTCGATCGCTCATCCTCTGGTATAGACTCTAAAACTGCACGACTATTGGAAGTGAATTTGGTGAGGCGGAATCCACCTTTCTTACAGGATTGCCGAAGACCTTCAATCAGCTCGACTGCTTTACCTTCCGAGCTTACGGAACGTAGACAATCGTCCACATAAAAGTTATTTCGCAGCGTGTCAGCAACCAAGGTACCGTACTTATCTTCGTTATCCCTTGCGGTTCGCTTAAGGGCAAAGTTAGCGACACTTGGCGACGAGGCCGCTCCAAATAAATGTACAACCATCCGATACTCTTGTAGCTCGGCTTCTAGATTGCCATCTGGCCACCATAAGAAACGGAGGTAATCATACTGTTCAGGAGGAACTGTAACCTGGTGGAACATGGATTCCACATCTCCCATGAAGGCTACGGGGTCTTCACGAAATCTGGTTAGCACGCCTACTAGGGAGTTTGTCATATCTGGACCTTGCATCAGACAGTCATTGAGCGACACGCCCTGAAACTTTGAACTACAGTCAAATACGACGCGTATTTTTCTGGTTTTTCGGGTGATACACCCCATGATGGGGTAGATACCACACCTTGCCTGGGTTCGGTATCAGCAACTCATTTGGAACTCTTTGTGCATACCCTTTGGCGATGACATCGTTTACG